GAGAGCGCCACCAACTACGCGCTTCATCACATTTTCTGAAGGCCATCCATTTTTCAGGACTGTGTGAAAATAAATTGCCTGACTTTGTCCTCGCAATGCACATGGGAACATATGCAAGCAAACAAACACACACACCATTTCTGTCCTTGTCATGTATTTTCTGTCTTACGCAGAGATGTGCCAAACTGTGTATCTTCTCATGTGACTATTTAATGCTGTCATTTTGGCCATGTTGTTGTTGTTGACAAGTGCTGTATATGAATAAACATTCATGTGTCCTGTTAGCTGCTTTCACCTACACCTATATTATATCCTTATACTGTTCTTATAAATGCAAAAATAGGGAGACTTATACTAAGTGTTGCTTTATTGTGCATAGGTGTAAATTTCATAACACTAGTGTTTCTAACTTGTCTCCGTCCTTTCCTTCCTTCCTTCTGTCTGTCGTCTAGGTAACAGACATGATGCAGAAAGCCTTGTTTGATTTTCTAAAGCACAGATTTGATGGCAGGTGGGTACGGCTGCCTGTACTGCTGTGTGCAGTAGCACTGTGACCGAACCACATAGCTGCTCTTTGGATTATGGGATCACATTTCATGGTTGATAGGACACATGAGGATGATGATTTACAGTATTTTTAACTCCTAGAGACTACAAGTTAATCTCATCCTTTGAAATGGAGAAGTTCTGGATGTGATGTGATAAGATGCTTCTTCTGTAGGATCTCTATTACACGAGTGACTGCTGATCTGTCACTGGCGAAGCGCTCGGTGCTAAACAAGAAGGCCATAATGGAAAGATCGAACACACGCTCCAGTCTGGGTGAGTGAAGAGAACGTTTTCTTTGATCTGTTCTCTGCTAAATAAAGATGAATACTGCTAAAAATAGATGCCTCTTCTTTCTTTATTTCTTTAAAGTAACTGATGTTGCTCCGTTGAACATGTCTCATACTCCCTTTGTTTGTTTGGTTTGATCACAGCTGAGGTCCAGAGTGAGATAGAGAGGATCTTTGAGCTGGCCAAGTCTCTTCAGCTGGTTGTCCTGGATGCAGACACCATCAACCACCCAGCACAGCTCCTCAAAACGTCCCTGGCTCCCATCATTGTCTACGTCAAAGTGTCCTCACCCAAAGTACGGCACAACCCACATAAACTTCACAAAGAAGTTATTCAAGACTTATGTTTTTGTCTGATGAGTTGTTATTCATTATTTAAACTACAGCTAAAATACTAGTATAACTGATTAGTGTTTTGATAGTTGAATAATCATTTTGGTGTTTATTCAAGTCAAAATGAAAGCATTTGCTGGTCCATGCAAAAATCTGCTGCTTATATATATGTATATACATATACATACTGTATATACAGTATAGCTGTAAACTGTCTGTGTTTGGGTTTTGGACTCCTGGTCAGATAAAACAAGGCATTTGAAGACATCACTTTGGAGTCTCCAAACTTTACCATTTGGCACTTTATACAGTAAATATAATGATTAATCCATAATGAAAGTACTTGTTAATTGCAGTCCTGTTTCACTGAATATACTGCTTGAATAACCAGGCAAAAGGGTTTCCAAAATTGTTTTTTTTACTCACAATGATATACTGTAATAATGCACTGAGACTCTTGCAAGAAATCATATCCACAAAGGAGTTTGACAGAGCGAAGTCTATATTCAGATTTCAGTTGTTCTGCCATGAGGGACTCACTGTATATATGACTAAATAAAATAAGAAAACAGTGATGAAAACAATTAAACTGTTCATTTGATAACCTCATTACTTTTATTTTTTGGCTCCTCTCACAGGTTCTTCAGAGGCTGATCAAATCTCGAGGGAAGTCACAAAGCAAACACCTCAATGTACAGATGATGGCAGGGGACAAGCTAGCTCAGTGCCCACCTGTACGTCACTCTTCCTCAAACTAACAACTAATACTGTGCTGAAAATGCATTTGAAAAGTGGTTCAAACAATTCAAACCACGATCTTTTATGGATATTGAATGGTTTAACTTTTCTTTCTCATCTTTCCTATTTTGTTCTTTGTCCCACTAGGAAATGTTTGATGTTATCCTGGATGAGAATCAGCTGGACGATGCATGTGAACACCTTGCAGAGTACCTGGAAATTTACTGGCGAGCTACACATTTCCCTTGTTCTGCCCCTGTTAACCCCTTGCTTGACCAAAGTGTGATCACCCCGCCCTCAGCTAACTCCAGCCAACAGGTAAAACAAACACATAACTGCTTTTTGATTTAATAACATTTTGGCTGCATTATTAATTGCATCTTTTCTGCCTCCCGGGTACATTTACTAGTTTTCTGAGACTCAAGAGTTGATAGAATGATCACGTCCACAGACATAGGTGAGACAAAATATGTTTTTCTTCATCTTTCATACTTTGGTTAAAATTATTTCATTTGCTGCTGACTTCTGGTATTAGTATTATTTTTTTCTCTTGAAAATTGCCTCCTGCTCTCTTGCAGGAGCAGCCTGTGCTGTTGGCTGGGGTCAGACTAAGAAGTCACAGGGCCCAGGGACCAGGGCACCACCAGGGGGCAGCATCCGTCAACTCTCCAAGGCCACCTTCTCTGTCCACACCTGGGACAAAGAAGAGCGTGAGAGCAGAGTCCCTCAGAAAAACCAGAAGGTTGGTGAGCTGGAAGAAGAGGACAAATAAAAGCTGTGACATAAGCGGGAGGAGGAAGCAGATTAGACGAGAGTCCACTTCCCTGCTGCCCCCTCGGCAAGAGCTCCCTGCTCCCATCGCCACGCAACAACTCAGGGCCACTTTCTACAGCTGCACGCATATTGGTAACAAAAACCAGTACAGCAGTGCAGTCACTGCACAACACCTTCCCTCTTCCCACATCCTTTCTCCCCCCTGAGACTTTAACTTTGATCCCAATTCTTCTTTCACACTGGAAGTCACATCCCCCATCTGGCAAAGCTGTCAGCCAATGTGAGTTCAGATCACCAGAAGTGGCTCTCCCAGACACAGATAGGCTGATTCAGTACCTGTGAACTCAGAGTAGGTTACATACAGTAAGTACTGTAGCATAGCACGCAACATAAACAGGAATTGTCATCCAATGTAGGGCTTCCAGGGTTTCCTCTTGATAAACTTGGCTGGCCAAAGCGAGCAGAGAGTGACAGCAGACCAGTTCTGTATGTCTTCCATCTCTACAGCTCTCTGTGAGGTATCATTCCAGTATAACCAAGTGTTTCTTCAAAGGCACAGTTGTTTCTGTCAGCATCAACATGGTGTCACCTGCAATGGGACACACAGGGAGAATGAAAACATTTCTTTTCCTTTATCACTTATTTTGGCTCCTTTTTAACCCAGTAGCCTTTTAAATGATTCTTTCTCTTTATTTTTTACTGCGACTATCAATATTACTATTTATCATTTATATCCTGAACTTCAGTATAACTGATCACATATCTACACATAACAGTGATGCAGAATCTTTGCATGACAAGCACAGAGTTGCACATCAAGTGTTTATATGTATCCTTTGTCACAGTTGTGAATGTATAAAAGCTGCTCTGTTGGCTTAAGAAGGATTATTTACATTCACTGTGGTTTGTTTGCAAATGGCTGGTGGCAAATCCTATAACCTAACAAAAATTAAAATACAATTTGATATTAAACAAAAACATGGTTTTTGATATCACTTGTATAAAGAAGGCTTTTCCAATAAATAATAAACAAACACAAAACAAATCACCAATATTAATAATTTTAACTAATCAGCTGCTGCGCTCGCAGTATGAATTTGTTTTTACCCTTAAATGATTATTTAAAATTTTCCTTCTGATGCTGTTTGATAAACCCAGAAATATAAACTGTCATCATCAGATATAAGAAGACTGACTGATATTTAACATGTGAAAGTTACTCCAAAAAGCTTGTATGATTTGCTCCAGTCTCAACGTGGAAAACCTGATATTTATGTTCTTTCCTGACACCAAACTGTTCCTAATGATGGTTTTAAAACAAAACTGGAAGCCTGAGACTGAAACAATGACTCTGTCCCCTTTTGGAGTACACAGTTTGATCTTCAGATCTGAACTTGACCGGAGAACATAAAGGCGCCTTACTGGGTAGATGTAGGAGTTCAAAGAAAATAGATACATAGATAAACTAGACAGCACTCCGAGAGTGCAAAACGCCGCCAGGGCGCAACTCAGTTTCACCATAATGCCATAAAAGCAATATTCCAATAAGAGGTTGACCCTCATAATATGATAGCTTGACCATGAAAACCTACTGCTGGCATTTGGAATGATGCTAATGTCTTTATAAGTTTGAAAGTTATTCAAGAAACACAACTGACATGAAACTCATTGGTTTAGGGGTAAAACAGGGACTTCAGTGAGTGGACTGCAGCCAAAATGGTTAAAACAAACTACTGTGCTAACAGAGCTAACTTGATCAGAAAATGAGTCCTCACATATCCAAAAATGTCAGAAAGAAATTATAAATTAGCATTACATGGATAGACTGACCACATATTCTCACTCTAAGTGGTTTATGTGTCACCTGAAAAAATGTCAAAACTTAATAAAATGGCATAACACCAGACCCACAGATGAAAATGATAACAGCCTTGAGCCTGGTTCCAAATCTCTGCCATCAGGCTTTCGCCCTGCTGTCGCGGCGTAGAGTGGATCTTTCCCCAGCTCTGGGCTGTCGCCTCACTGGGCTCCTTCAGTCCCTGTCTCACAATGGCGGGGTGTAGCTACGGATTAAAAGCACTCGGTTTCCAGTGACAATGAATGGGCCGCTGTCACTAACCAGGGATTTTTCTCTGTATGTGCTCAGCTGCACACTTTGGCCACCAAGGGGCTTTACTTTTTGAGTTATAGTGTTACAACAAACACAGGCAAAAACTCAAGCCCTGGCCTTGACAGAGGCAATGGCACAATTAAATGTTAGCCCAGACAAACACATCACCACAAACCAGTCAGGAACATCTCTGCATTTTGACTTTTTAAAAACCATTTCAGCATTTCGGCATCATTTGCATGTCACATTTATGTTGCTCAGTGGTGTAGTGATAACTCAAGAAATGGTTGGACTATAGACTCCCAACTTATGCTTTGATGGTAGGTTGAGAACTTCAGATGTAAGTTGCTCAGTGAAAAGAAAGTATCTATGCTATGTGCACTTGCACGCTCCCTCCACTGTGCTGTAACACTGAGAAGACAACTCCCCTGAAGGAGCCTTTGGGTCTTTGGGCACATCAACAGATTATGAAGGGTTACTTCCTAATATGCCTAATAAATAATTACATTATCGTTTGGCATAAACAACTAAAATCAGCATAGTATGTACTGCAGGCATGTAAATATATCGAGGGTGACCTCTAGTGGTGTATTTATGTTATTAGAGGTCATGTATCCACTACTTACTTATTCTCTGCCCATTGCAAACAAACTGCAGGATATATATTAAATCTGCACACACATAAATTAAGAATATGTACAATTTCCATTCATAAGACTAGCTAAATGTCCTGGCTGTAATTACCAATAGCTTCATCCAAACTTTGCATAGTAATCAGCTGACTCTGTCATGTTTATCAGATCACTAATTTGCCTACATTTCCAGTCTAACAGTATTCACAAATATGAAACCATCTGAGCAAGCACTGAAAGATCACATTATTGCATCCACTGTTATATAAAACAAAAAAATTCAACTAACACACCCACATATGTAAATAATCGATTGTATGTGCATGACATATTGTATTCCTGTTTGATCAGAAGGGCTTTTTTGGACCATCATCACATGAGCCGTTCACTCCTCAGAATACATCAACATGACTTACATAACCAGTCAGATGTATGCATTATCACAGCTTAACTGTACATACTGTATATTCAATAAACAAAAAAAAAAAATGCCGACAGAAAGTAAAAGGGTTTAGTCACAGTACACAATTCAGTATTCAGCTGCTTCAGAAAGCATGTGTTTATATGTAAGATTCTTTGTTTTTAGAATGATGCACTGCAGTTACTTAGGACCACCATAAGGCTTGCTTCCACTGACACCCACATTCATTTCTGAAGAACTGGGTATGAGATACAAAACTTCTAGTTGATGAAAGACAGAGAGCACAGTACGTTCTTTTTATTACAGGAAATTTATACAAAAAGTGAATTTTTCTTTGGGCGCCCAAAGCACAATTTCTTTTACAATTATCATTATCTATTGCGTTTTACTTGCCTAAATTCTGTATGCAATACAAAGTCTAGCACTGCTGAGACACTAGCTGAGACTATCAAGATATCTCTGATGGGGTATAATTGCACTACTATCATGTATATGTCTGCTATATGATGCAATAAATGCACTAAACGTTATGCTGCACCCACCTCCAATCCTGAAGACGCTGTGAGGTGTGATGATAATGATGTCAACATTTCCCACAGTTCCTGACAAATCGACAAGATCAGTGATATCCAACAGTGTCTGATGATGTGTACAGGGTACATCTTTTGTCAATAGCACATTTGAACGAGGGGGTGAATAAAAAACATTTAAGTAACATTTCTGTGTCTGTTTTTATTTCTCCTCAGTAATTTATAATGACACCAACAGAGGGCAGAAAAGTATTTATACCTGCAGGTTGTGGCAATACTGTGGAATAATCAGCCCACTGTAAAACAGATATATTGTAAAGTGATAGCCTTCAGCTCACTTAGAACTGCCATTTAAAGGGCCATAGTGAATCAGCTTTTGTCTGTTTTCCCAAGGCCTGACTGCCACTCTCTTACTGTTGTTAGGTATTTTTAGTCAGATAGATATTGGTTAGATACTTTATGTATTAGAAATGTTTAGTGGAGATAGGATGTATAGTTAGACTGTTAAATGCTTAGTCATGCTTATGAGTTTCTACAGGGTACATCTGGTCAAGGATAACTAGAGAGAAGAGTTGATGACTGTCAGCAAACAGGGTGTTTAATATTATTATTATGACGTGTATAACTGTAGCCTTAGCCATAATATGTTCTTATGTTTAATTGATTTACTTCATGTTTTGACTACTGCTATGACCAGCTGCAAAGCTGGTAACAGAGACGTCTCGGTTGACGTTTCTGTGTAGTATGGGGCTAGCCCAACCAAGGGGATATAATGTATAGGCCTGGTGGGTTCAGGGTGTTTCATCTTACATCTGCCTGCGTGCAGTTTGGGGGTGCAAGATGCCTGAGCGTGTAATGTTAATTTTTACCTGTGTTCATGGAATAAATCAGTACCGTTTTGTAGTTACTTGGACTGTCTCGTCTCTCAGAGTCAGTATGGTAAAAAGTACCAGGTACAACACTGTGTTGGTGTTAATTGCCAACATAGTCACCAAATATATTGAGGTGTGATTGCATTAAGCATCAATGCAGCAGTCAGTCTCCCCCTTTTCCTCAGCCTTTGTATCAGCCATATTGGAAGGTGTCACTTTATTTCTGATGATTATTCATAACCACCTGTCTCTCTCTGCACTGGCTGGACAGACATCACTGTATTCATTGCAGTTTAGAAGGGTTAGAGAGAGTTCATAGTCTGCAAGCTGTCTTCTTTGTTCTGTCTTCCTCTAAGCACCACTGTATTTGGGTTTTATTAATTACTGAAGAACAGCAGCATAAAAAATGGGGATGTTGTATATAGTGGACCCCCTCCTTTTCTAATTCATTTGTTGTCACCCCTATACAAGTAATCAGTCTTTTGCAGCCTGAAAACTTAGCATATTTCAACCTGTTTTTCTGTACACTTTAAATACTGTGTGAGGAATTTTCTGTGAAGCTTTAGAAAATTATTATCAGCAGTACATCGTTCAGTTTTATAGGACTTCGTTTATTATGCCCTGGCCACAAGATATCCCCTGGCCCATCTGACTCTGGCCCCTATACAGAGGACCAGTTATTGCATTACTACCCCTGTTTGTTACAACACAGAAACAAAGAAGGTTCTGAAACTGAAAGCAAGCCTACTTCATTTAGCACTATGCTAATTATTGCAATATGGCTATTAAATCTTTCTGAAGCACTAGTGGCCAGTTGTGTTCATTCCCCTCCCCCTTTTATCTCGCGCCTGTCTTGGCGGCTCTTTTATGGCCTGATTTTATTCATTTTTCTCCTGTATTCTTCAGCACCAGCATCAGAACAATTATCATGTTTGGAGGCAAATGTGGGGAGATTTTAAAACTCCAGTGTCATTTATATTAAATGTAGCCAAACATAATCTTGCATTGCAACAGTTCTTCTTTTCACACCGAGGATTCTGAGCAGTATTATTTACTTGAACATTTGTTATCAAATTAAAGATGCTGTTATCACAGAGAACTAAATGAATAAACAAAGACAGCAGACTTGGTCAAACTGATAAAATGAAATGCTGATAGCAATGGAAAGCTGGGCATGGAGACACACTCAGAGCTGAGTGGTGACAACAAGACATATTGGGCTATAAAACACAGACAGTCCCAGTATGGGGGATGAATGATATGGGCTGTTTTCGAGCAAAGGAAAATTGCTTTGACCCACTAGGGCAAAAACTGCAATGGCTTTGATTGGCAACAGTAAGTAAATTAGCCAATAGGCTGCCAGACGCAGTTAATTGACTTTTATCTTTTAATTCTCCTTTTCCTTGAAATGACATGGTGTTTCCCCGTAGCAGTGACCACCTGGGTGTGAAAATCAGTGCCTGTGTGTCTCCAGGGGTTTGATCATAGAGGAAAGACCTCTGAGTTGACCCTGTGGGCAGCCGTCAGGGGGCCTCACACCATCCCATCAGATGTCAGCATGGTGGTATTACATCAAACCACACAGACGGAGGTCAGACTGCCCTTTGATCAGTGGATGTCAGTGAAACATTTGTATATCTTATGTGTCTGTGGGTTTGGAGGGCTCTCAGAGTAACCAGGAATAGTTTAAGAAGAAATCAACCACCTATGAGAAATCGAACAAAAAAAAAAGAATTTGAGTTGTTTACATAAATTTGGCTCTACTCTGTAGTGCAGATTAAAGTGCACTAATTAGTCCACAGTGTGTTGGTCTATCAGTCCCATTGTCCTGTGTCAGTCTAATCAATCAGTCAGAAGGAGGCCAAGTGACAGGACCCACAGGTGACTGCTGACGTCATAAGCCCTAATGCTTAATATTTGTAAACTAAACGCTTTGAGAGGGAGCTGAAATTATTTGCTCATCATTTTTGGTTTTCTTAGTTTGAAGTGAAACACGCACAAGGAAATCAATAAACCATTCTAAATATGGTTTTGCACAATATGCAATATTCAAAATGTAAAACAAACCACCATTTATGACGCCATTGTACTAATCCTTAGCCAAATCATTTGTCTTTGCTCTCTGAGGACATCACTGAGCGGAGGACGTGGATGTTAGGAAGCCTGTGGAATGGTGAGCTCCCATTGGCTGCTGCTCGCCTGTATAAAGAGCCGCAGTGGCAAATTCAATCAGATCAACTGCGGGCATCCGGAAAGAGCCAGACACCGGGGCGCTCGATCTCACAGGGACAATACTTGGCTGTTCTGTTAACACCATGAAGGAAAGGAGGAATACACAGCCGCTGGTGGCGAGATGCAAACTGGTTCTTGTGGGGGACGTTCAATGCGGAAAAACTGCAATGTTGCAAGTCCTGGCGAAGGATTGTTATCCAGAGGTAGGCTGTGCTCTAATTTGGTCCATTTTCGTGCAAAATTAACTAAATACGTGCACATAAAGTTGTTCTGTATTATCGGACTGCTAGGTTATCTAAAAATGACTGGAAATAATCAGTGCGTCTGATGCAGACAGCACAGTTTGTGTGCGCATTTTCAAGATTTATTCCTTTCAGTTTATCATGTATTCCGTCACCATAATATTTTAATTGCACATTTTTCGTCGCATGGTTATAGAAAATATAGTCACTGTTCATTTATGAAAGCTTTATATTATCTTATTATCTTGGCATGCGCTGATTTCCCCCCTGCAGCTGCAGTGATTCCAGTGATCGGTTGAGCTGAAATTCTTTCAAATTTAGGAAATTTTTGATTTTTCTCTTTGATTTGATTGACCCCTCGGTGCGTGTTTCTGTGTTGCACCAATTAGCTAGATACATTTCATTACCTGTAGCTGACTGACTGACACCTGCGCACTAATGGCACCGTGGTGATAATTACTCCCCAGACCTACGTGCCCACGGTGTTTGAAAACTACACAGCCTGTCTGGAGCTGGAGGAGCAGCGAGTGGAGCTCAGTCTGTGGGACACCTCAGGTAACTTACCGCCTTTCTTCTGTTTGTCTGCCTGGCATATCCTGGCCTGTCACTCAGTCTGCAGCACTGAAGGAGACTGGAATATGAAGCAATGATCTGTGAATGTAATAAGTGTCTGTCTCAACTAAAAGGAGAGCTGCGTCTTTGAATCTCTTCTTGAGAAATATATCTTTTGGGGACAAGAAATTTAATTGTCATTACCCTGTCCATCTCTAAATAAAGGAAATATGGGGAAAGTAGTGTTTGATGACATGAAGGCCTTTGGGCAGGCGCTGTGTTTATCCATTGCTGATGGAAGGGGACATAAAAGATCAACTTGTTGAACTGCGGAGTCTAGTCCTACTAAGTGTGGAAAAAGAGGGTCAGTGTGGATATCCTGTTGACCTGAATAATGCAAACACAGATCTGCAGCACCTGTTTGATTCCACTCATGCTCATTGCACAGTGGTTTCTCTCTCCAGCTCACATTCCTCTCCATCCTCTCCATTTTTTTTTCGCTAATGTGTCTGTAGTCAACAAATCCTTTATGTAACAGACCCACTTGTATGAGACGATCCAGTATTTACTGTGCTCTCATATTTCTTTTTATCCATTATGCATGAGTGACAATAGGAAAGTAGTGAATGTAATTCCCAGACCAAATCCTGCTCTTTAATCCCAGACCGTGGACCTTTGGTCTGGCCAGCAGGAGTGGGCCTGCTGCCGGGGACTGATGGACACACAGAGGCATGTTGAGCAGGAAGGTTTTCTGGAGCAGACAGACAGGAGGCAGCCCAGAAACTTGAGTGACCTGCATTTGCCTCCATATGCCACATCAGGTTACCCACTCGAACAGAATGATGCAGGGGATTAAGACTGTGAATAGGACCACTGGGCCACCCTTTACAACTAACCCAATGAGTCTGATTTTCTTTCTTCTTCATCCTTTCAGTAGCTGCACTGTTCCCATTTGTACTTGCTTCCTGTCCGGCATAATCCTTGTTTAAGCTCCTTTCTTCTATACGTTGACCCCCTCCTTTGTCACGTCCCTGTTATCCATGCTAAATTCAAAATTGTATCCGTTTCTGGCTAATTTGCATCTTTCACTTTTTGATGTGAGGAACACACTCAGCAACAAAGACGGACTGTAAAATGCATGACAAACTGCTGTAGAGTACAACATGTACTGAAAATTACACATGCTTTACAGGCAATTGTAAATCAACACAAAAAGCTAAAATAAAAATAATTAGTGGTGATATTTTTATTTGCAGCAGGCTTTAGGTTTGATTTAAAGACACCACTTTCCTGTTCCCCTGTGAGGAGAACTCACCCCTCCTCCCTTTCATTTTTAATACATGACTCGCGTCTCCTGTCAGGCCCCTGGTGATGGATGATATTTGTCGGTCCACTCATGATAATTTGCTCTAATTGTGTGGAGTTTGCCGTGGTTCCCCGCCACATCGAGGGCCTCTCCTCATTATCCCGACTCCCCTTCATCGATTGGACTGACCTCATCACTGGCTTCACATGGCAGGCAGCTCCTTCTTCCCGGTTCTGCCATGGATTTACAGACCAAAATCAATCCACCACTTTTAATCAGCCTGGTCTGATCGGACATGAAGGAGTGAGACAGAAAGAAGGCGAGCTTCATCCAGTGGCTATAACTCATGCATAGCGAATAATGAATCTTGTTATGGTGTTCGTGAGTAATTTATCTC